GTTGGAATGCAAGGGTCTTGAAACGTACACGCAGATATCTACTGTTTTACATCACGGACGATATGTGCATATGTAACGTGTTACACAATTTGTTGTGTTACGAAGCCAAAGAAATGAGGCAGGTCGCATTATCGTTGCAGGGATCCTAGTCACGGACTCGGTGTCGAACCGTTTCGGAATGCAATCTTCCTTCTTATTTCGTTAATCGTGAGAGAGTTTAGTTTCTAGAGGCATCGTCTTGAATGCTTTTGACCATTATCATTTTCTGATCTTCTTGAATTTAATAACAGATATGATTCATATAATTATCAATAAAAATGAAATTGTGTACGTCGTGGAGTATATAATGTATGCTTCTTTTTGGATATCTTCGCGACGAGTGACCTTATCAAGAACGACGAGACTTCAGGTAGACAAAGAATGCTCGATAAACAAGTTACATTTCCATTTATTATGTGCATCACTTGGTCTTCCTCGAGAAATAGCTAGCATAGAGGAGCTATTTCTTAATCGCAGTAACGAATGCTCAAGTGATGACGCTGTCACTTTCTCCCTCGTAACTATTTTTCACTTTCGGAGTGCGTACGCGTCTCATAGGGCAGCATTTCTCCGACGTTAAACATCAATTTACTTCAATTTGTTCGGATCAATAGTTACGCGATCAATAGTTAATCTTGCTCGTTACGATCGTCTCCTTTCAAGAGAAAATTATCAACGCTGTACATTATCGTATGCACTCGAACATCTTGACACTTCGATGATATTTAATTTAATTATCAACTTCATCAAGAGATAATAATTTAATCCTATAATTGAATCGAGTTGCTTCGATTTTGTCGATTCTAGACACAGATTGATTATCATCACCCATTAACTTGAGATTTTTATTAAAAAATGACATTGTCAATTATCTCTAATCTATAGTGTGTGTCTTTTCAATTGAAAACAATTCGCAGACCTTACAATCTAAGAAAAATAATTATTATTATGAGAATAATCTATAATATTTTTTATTATAAATTTTATTATAAATTAATAAAGTATAAATAATATTTTTATATAATTAAATTAAATTCCAGTTTTATACGTGAAATAGTATATTTGATATTTAATAGTATATTTTACATATAAAAAGTATATTAGTTAATCTTTTTAAAATATTATACTTTGATGGAATACCGTTTTCGTGTCTAATCACCATTGTGATCAAATAGGAGTTCTCGCGAATACAAATGATCAATCTTCTACCTGAAGAAGTATGATAAATTGTTCCGACGCGTAAATCTTGTATAAAAATACTTGTATGTTTTATAAGCTTCTGTTTAAAATTAAATGTACCATTATAAAGTTTACTTGAATTTTGCTTAAAGTGTTGCCTTCTAACGATTCTATTCTCAATGTATTAATTTCACATTATTTAATTCTGTCGGAAAGAAGAGGATAAATTAAAGAAGTAAACTATCAGCCGACAATAATATGTAATAAATAAATAGTACTTCCAACAAAGAGGACGTGCACGTATTATTCAAATCAAAATGGTTATGGCTGCGTGCCGAAATTGAAAGTAATTATCATTATATAAGCCTCTTCCGGATTCTCTTCAGGAAGACGCAGTTTTCATGAAGATTCTATGCCGATGTTGAACAAAAAAATCGGCAGCTTACATAATCCCTATCATTGCCCATTATATCGTGAAAGTTCCTCGGACAATCTAAAAAACGAAGAAGAAAGTGAAGAAATGATGGCCAGTATAATAAAAGTTGTATTTATAAAAGTTTCTCTTGCTCATTTGTTCCTAAAAATTGAAGTCATATTTTGAATTCTATTATTATTATCTAGACAGAGACAGAGAGGAATTACAGCTGTGGGAAATAATAATTGATTAAATGAATTATAACATGGCAAATAAAAGGTTTACAATTTTTATAGATTTAGTATCATCTATTTCAATTCGTGCCGCACGTTTTGTATGCCCGATATATAACGAATCAATAACAAAACTAATTACATATTAACGCTGAGTGTACAATTAAAAAAGATCAATTAAATTGTAAACGTTCCGTTTGGATAAGTTCAAGTAATAAAGATAATGGAAATAATAGCCGGCAGGATACGACGATCATGATAACGAGGAAAGAAGCGATAATGAGGGACGAGTGTCGATTGGCGAGAATATTCTGCATTTTCCTGAAGTAGTCTCTTAGCGTAAATGTCGATTCTTTCAGATGTGAATTAAGGGTGAGAGCAAGGACAATTGATGATATTGTATGTATATGCAGAAGAAAATTAATTGTACAATCGCACGGTACGTGGAGGTGTTTCTAATTGTTTTGGTGATCATGAGAGATTTATCGCTTTAAATTATTCTTCATTCTCATTTTTAACGCATCTGTGTGGTTGATCCATTGGCGTCTGAAATTGAATTAATTGTAAGTATAATTTTAGCAATGATATTTGGGAGATATTACTTAATTTCAATATTTATATATATATTTATTCTTTAAAATATCATTATGACTAGATTGAAATACCAAAATTAAGAAAATATGATCGCTAAAGAAGATATCGAAATCTTGCATTTGGACTTTTTCTCACTTACACCGAGTTCTTCACTACGCGATTTTGAAAAGCATTCCACTTGCGTATTTTACGTAATATTCAAGAGAGAATTCGTGTTTTCTTTATTCCACATAACTAGGTATACCTGTCAAATATTTGTCTTCTCTTTGGTTTTAAAACCCGAAGGATTTATTTATCTAAATATACGTATATTCTTTAAAAATTTGCTTAGGAAATCGCGGCAACTTTCTGAAATAGAAAAATTGAGATTTAATTTTAAACAAAATAATCTATATTCGAAATAGAAATTCTCAAATTGAAATGTATATTTTCGAATCAAATTTTCCACACGTGAAAATATCAAATTCGTAATTTGAGGAAAATCAGAGTGAAAATGCTACTACTTTGATTCAATTCAATCGTCTTGCAGCTCACGTGAATGCTTATGTATTCGAATAAATCTAAAATCACAATACGTGCGGCTTGCATATATTTGTTGCGTGCAAAATAGCATCGTGAGTTTCTAACATGGTTTTCGGCCATTGAATCCCCAGATATTTGCAACAATTATATAACATATTGCCAATGTAGCTTTCTTCTTTCAATTGTAATGAAGCGTATTCTTTGATGAAGCTACTGCTATTCTGAAAATCTAATTAAGATATTGTCACATTTTTATATTTAAATATATTTTTTTCATTACTTTTTGAAGTTTAATATTCCTTAAATATTCTACTAATGAATATTTAAGGAATATTAAACTTCAAAAAGTAATGAAAAAAATTTAAGGGATATCAAAGATGTCAGTTGATTAAATAAAATAGAAGTCTATCTATTTTATTATATTTATTTGAAAGAGGTCAAATGTGCCTTAATAATTTTAAATTAATTTTCAATCCTAAATCCAGTGTTAAACATGGAATATTAGGTACGGGATTTGTAAACGTGTAAAGAGGGTATATCAACAGTTTGATCGAATTCTCGAAAACATGAAACAGCGTCGGTCGTGTATTTTCGGCGAATTTTAATGACTTGTTAGTTTATTCTCGCAGACGAATGGCGCGAAGCAGATTGGTACCTTTTATTTCCACCGACACGCCTCCAAAGGAACAAAAGTTTTCACTGGCTTCTGATCCAACCGTTTTGTTATGTGTAACAAACAGTCTATGTTAAAAACGTGACAAAAGTATTTTTACAAATAGTGTTCACTGAATCTACAATAGAATATACAATACTAGAATATACTATTATATACATATATAGAATATACAATAAACATAATAACGCAAAAACGTTGCTATTCAACGTTTCAAAAAATTCATAAGCATAATGATTTACATAGCAATTATATCTGTATTATATTCAAGACTATCATTAGCGAAAAGGAACATTGTTAGCTGTTTAAAAAGTGGTATAAACCGGAAGATGTGTCGCCGTATCTTTTCCTTGTTAATGACCACTTTAAAAATCTGTTTAGTTAGAATAGCTAGCTTGACCGTTGTAGTTCGCTTTATCTTTAATATAGAGATCATATAACAAACGTGTAAGTCTCGGATTAATGAGGGAAGAGCATTACTTTCATTCGCACACACGTCTTGCCGTTCTTCACACGTTCTGCAAATTAATCTGAGATCAGAAAATCCTCTCTCGTATTCAAGATATCTCATTCCTTTGTGTTCAGTTCTGCCTTTTGAGTCATTAAAAATTAGACAACTTTCTCTGGTATGTTTCCGTCCAAAATAGGATTCCATGTAAATTTCCATGTAAAAATCAAATCATCGTTACATTGAAAATCAATCAGAAGCTTATAATAACAATTAATGGAAAATTTTTGCTATATCAGTAATCAGTGAAAATTCCATCATTACTAAATGTTTTCATTCATAAGAAAATTATTACTGATTTAATTATGTATAATATAAAATAATTAATATAATATAATATATTATATTAATAATATAATATAATTAATATAATATATTATAATTATAATTAATGTAAACGAGCCTGTGGATTTTTACATATTTATAATATATGAAATTTAAACATGCAAAAAATACACATATGTAATATGCAAAAAAAAAAAATCTTTTTCGTAAAGAAATCGCGTTCATAAAAATATGAACTCACGTACATAGAAATGTAGACTCCTCAGTCTAGTTACAAGTACCTAAGTATACTACGATTTCTATGTGAAAAAACTATGAGAGATGAAGAAACTAACCTTTCACACATGGAAACGTCAAAATTATTATTCTTATGAATAATTACAAAGGATTCATGAAGTGTAATTTAGAAGATCACTGGCAAAGGTAGTCAGGAAAAGACAGAAGAATGATCAGGAAAAGATGGAAAGCAGAGAAGTCACGCAATCAGCGATACCCGTACAGTGGTTGGTGCACAGTGTTACAAATGTGACAAACCACTACACACGTGTGCAACTAGTCGATTGATTGCACAAGCCACCAGCAGAATCGCCCGCAGAACTGTTGATACACAGGGTACCGAAACCGTGTAATCGTTTTAATCTTATTCATTGAAAGACTTCCTGGTTATACTTCCTCTTCACCGGGAAGATAGCTTTTCCTGATGTATTGTTCTGATGCTGTAAATGACGTTTAAACCATTACTTCCCTGCGTTATTGTGTTGGAAGTACATTTAAATTCTAGAGGTTTATTATTCTAACCTAATTTGCAACAGACGGTGCCCTTGTGAATGCTAATGAAATTAATCTTCCTTAGCGCTTGAATCGCATAATTGTCGCTACACAAGTACGGAAGGAAAGTGTCACCCTAAGTGCCGTTAAAAATCTTTCTCCTACCTGACGCGATGTGCGCATGCGCAGAAAATGCTACAATGTAATTTTGAAATGTTTAAAATTTGATGAATATCATAATAGGTAAATTTATTTTCTTATAATATACATAACTCTTGAGTGTTTTAAATTCAATGAACTATTAATAATCTCACCCGCGGATTCTTTTTTTCTTTACAAGTACGTATATTAACTAAAGATATGATGACGTTACGTGATTATTAAAAATAGGATTAGCTAAAGTCACTTTTTCTATCTTCTTGGAATTTTCGATATCGTTTAAGGATCTTCCGCAGAATAATACTGGTCAAACAAAAGTTTATTAAACAAAACAAAATTTTATTAAAAGTATGAAATATAAACAATATTAAAGCTTTCTGTTTTTGTTATTGTATATTAAACTCGATAGTAACTTATAACACAAAAGAAATATAAGTTCTAATGAAAAATATTTTAATTGTTTTTTTTCTTTAAGACAAACAACTTAATAAACGCAGAGTGGAGCACAAAGTTTAAAATTGACGTCTAGTCACGTTTCTTTCAATTGGAAAATGATCACAAGTGGAACGCGGAAAGCAATCTTTCCATTTTCGTAACGTCAATCGACGGGACAGGAATTTCTATAGGACGCAGACTAAGCGGAGGATACATGTAAATAACGTACTTACGTTTTATCACTGTCAATTACTTTCAACAACCATGTATCTTGGTATGACTCAAGAATTTCTCTTTTCATTTTATCACGTCACCGGTGATAAGTAAACTGCACATACGAATACAAGAACGTGCATTGGCTGATGAAAGTATATATTTGAACATTTATCATACAACGTATGAAAACCTTTACATGTGATAGGTTACACAAAATTATATTGTATGTAATAAGTTATATTGTATGATATAATAATAGGTTAGGTTATATTGTATGATATAATAATAAGTTATAATGTGTGATATATTGCATGTGATAGGTTATTGTATGATATAATAATAGGTTATAATGTGTGATATATTGCATGTGATAGATTATATTGTATGATATAATAATAGATTATAATGTATGATATATTGTATGTGATAGGTTGTACAAAATATTTTAAAATTTCATTAGCACTTACTGCATGTAGCATCTTACTATAATAACAGTATGTAACGTGAATAGTTTCAAAAATGATAAATATATATATATGAATATATATTAAAATAGAAGTTTTAGAATACTTGAAATTATACGTATAACTTAATTAACTAATTTGTAATGAAAGTAATTTCACTTGAATATACTTAAATTTTTAAGTAATAAAAGAAGTGAAATTTACTTTATAATAGTTTTCACATGCTTCAAGCACGTTTGGTGTATAACCCTTCGAAACAGTTCGAAAGGAGGACAGCAATAATTTTTTCCTAGATTATTATACGTTTCATAATCGTTATGTCAATTTTAATTCAAACTAACGTTCCTTAACTAGCCAATCACGTTGTCAAATCATATACCTACATTTCGACACGATCTCGAACGTATAGAAACAATGAGAGACGACGTAACCTCTTTCCTCTCATGTTAAAACGAACTCTTACATTACAAAGAATGATAAACGGTTTCGTAAAATGATTCGAACCTATGTTGTCAATCGTACTCGCTCCAGGCACAGTGAAAGTAACCAAGCGTCATTATCCTTTGGAATATAAAATGTGGAGAAGACAGCTGCAACCCTAAATCGAAAGAAAGTCAAAGTGACCTGATCGTGAGTATAATGACGACTTTCAGCAAGCGGCTGGCAACCTTCACACGTATACTTGAAAATCTTCACTGGGAACATTACAGTTTTAATAGATCTATTAAAATATATTATAATAATACTATATTATAAAAATATATTACAATTGTAATTATTTGATCTTTAACATTGTAACGTTGTAACTTTTATGATTTAACATTGTAACTCAGAGAAACATAATTAGTTATTTAATTATTTAATTATAGGTAATTATTCAGGAGAAAAAAAATGTTGGAAGTTCTTTGAAGAAAGAATAATGAAAGATAGCAAAACAAAATGGACAATACATTGTTCATTAATTGGTATGTTTGGATCAAAGATAATCATTGTGATTTTAAATAGATTACTTATTTGAAAGCAAAGTATTCAATTTTAATATAAAATATTTAATTTCACGCGATGAAAACTGTGAATAATATTTATTGCATACAATAAAGAATGATAAAAATTAAATATTCTGATATTAAAGAATATTTAACGGTTGAAAGGCTTAAATATTATGTATTATATTAAATTATTATAATATTAATTATTATGAAGGCTATATTAAGTATTATATTAAATTATTATATAATAATTAAATCCTTTAGTCAATTTCATATACTAAATTTTATTACATGGAAACAACAACTAAAAGAAGAAATGAGGAATCTCATTTTATGCATTTTGCTTCAACTATCACTCGAAAATGCCAAGTATATCTCTTGATCTATATTTAAAAGATGAAAATGAAACAGCAGAAGAATAAACGATATCTTTATTGGAAGCGAGAAATTCGTGACATACCATGCTGTTTTCTCTACATGAGGATCAAGAAGGCAATCTACGCTTGAAGCAATTTTTAGTTGTGACTTAATACTTCGTGTAAGGTCAAGAGGATTTACTTTCGTTTCCTCTAGAAATTGTATCTCCTTACTTTGCAAAATATTATTTCATACGTCTGTTTTAAATTCATAAGATTCTTATTATATGATTTTTAGCAATATAAGTTTTTTTTTTTTGGAAGAAAATTGAAATGATATTCGCTTACTCTGAAACAAATGATCTCTTAAGATTAGTGAGAAGACTGAGCAATAGAATGACTGATTTTCTCCATAGGATCAGAAAATTTTCTGACCTAGAAAGAATTCTGAGAAGTAGGACAATTTCGAGACGTGGATTACACATATTCGCATCGATTGGTTTCGCTATCTCCAAAGTGAACATTTCTTCGAACTCTGTATTTCAACTTTCCTCTAAAAAACAGAGATACCTTGCGGACTTTCATAACTAATCTCGCATATGTATATCTTTTAATAAATACGTTATACTGTTCACATAATAGCAGGGTATCTTGTATTTTTTTTTTTTTTTGTCTACTATGATTATTCATTAATAATACAGAAACATCGGAAGTTAGTATCTTATTGCAATGTTTTATGTATTGTAGAGATCTGTGTTATTTCCGTGTCGTTCTAACGCTGTCACGGAAGCAAAGGATGGCACGGTGAAAGGTATCAAATCGATAGGAAACCGCGAGGAGAATCTAAAGAAAGTCAAAGTGACTCTTTAAGAGGTAAAATCGAGTCGATGTAGTTTCTTAGCAGTAAAACGTTTATTGTGTGCGCCTCGTTTGTGAGCTTCTTCTCACGTTCGATTTCCCGATGCGTTTCTCTAGTTCGTTGTATTCTTACTCACATTCTAAAGTAGTTTAATGTACTTCCAGGTTGGAGCATGTTCCAGCATACTTGTATCTGGAAATCTTTCCAGACGATTTGCTTCTTTTTTTGCTTCTGAAGCAAATAATAATAACGTATCTTGTTCTCCCTTTTATTAAAACAAAATTTGTTAATGTCAAATTTCATTGTCAATTTTGTTATCATTATTAAATGTAAAACTATAGACATTAAAGATAATTATTTATTTGATATAGAAAACTAAGTAGTATAAAATAGAGATGCGATAAAAAAACTTTCAATGCAAAATGTCTTGCAGCGATTCAGACAGAAGAATAAATTAACGTTGTTAGAACACGCATAGCTAATTTTTTATTCTGTTCATGGTGTTGATAAAACCGGATTCAGAGTTATTGAGGGATCTGAGAAATAGTAAAACATGTCTATACCTATGTCTGACACGAATGTAAGAATTTACATAAGAAATTGTAGAATGTAGAAAAACTTATGTCCATGCATTGTCCACTAAAAGGCAGTAAACGTAATTTCACTAAAAAAAAAAAAAAAAAAAA